TGATTGTCGACTTTGGATTCAAAATCAATTATTCCCTGGAAAGTCGAGTTTCCCATCCATGCTAATAATGAAACTATGAAGTGCATGACAAGTGAATGAACACAAAGGCACACTCCTCATGGTCGTGTGGTGGCTTCTCGAAGGCGACAGTTTGGCCCGGCCTGTGCATCTTGAGGAGGAGAGACGGCGACGGACGGGACCGTTTTCGACCGGGAGGCTCTGCACGGCTCCGCTGGAGGCAGGTGTGTCCGTCCGGAGAGCGTTACATATTGCGCGAGAACCGGCTGCGGGCCGCTGGCCGGGGACGGGGCGGGGCGCGGTGGGGCAGGGCAAGGTTTTAGCGAGAGGGACCGGTCGGCTGGGCGCGACGGGGCGGGGCGAACGAGTCGGGGGTGTACTCTGGACCTGCACCGCAAGAAGAGACATCTCGAGAGGCATCTCTCCAACAACTGTGGACCGTGACGGTGTGTGTGTGTGTGTGCCTGTGTCGTTGCCGCGCTCAACACGAGCCGGTGAGGCAGAGGCGTCGTCTCCAGTAGATTGAGTTTCCTCCGGCGGCCCGGAAACGTAATCCTCTGTAGCCGGAGGATAAGTGACCCCCTCTGTGCTCTGAGCAAGGAGGGCACGTTCTGCCGCTGCTGGCCGCTGCTGCTGCCGCTCGAGGTGCTGGGGCGACTAGGGCTCGTGGAGAGTCGGTATACACCGTGCTGGAGAGATGTTCCCTGCAGGCGGCCGGGCGCTGCCCGGGTCATGGACGACACGCGGGACAACGCCCGCCGCCGATGGGTGTACTGCACCGTGTATGTACTCCGCGGTGTACTCTGATCACGAACAGAAGCTGCTGCTGCTGGAGCCTCCAGCTCGGCCCCAGCGAGCGCCACCGCCGCTGCTCGGACAATGCTGGTAATCGGGTTACGGGGCGGAGACTGGAGCTGGAGTGCTGGAGTCCGGGGAGCATGGAAACATGCATGCGGTCCCAGGCTCCGGATGATTTTTACGAAATGAGCAGGCGGGGCTGCAGCAGGGCTCCGCGGCCCCGCGCCTAGGTAGAGGTTCCCAGGGGACCCCAGAGACTCCCAGCTCTTGTGCAGCTGCAGCAGTGGGCGAGCTTGCGCGGCCCCGGAGTCCCCTTCTCTCGCTGCTGGTGGCCGTATTTTCACGAGTTTCTTGTGTTGTTGCTGCTGCTGCGTTTCTTACGACGCGATGCCCCCCCGGCGGTCTCTCTCGCGCCGTGTCGACTGTCACGCTCGCATATGCGCGCGGATTACGCCGGCTTAGCCCCCGCGGCCTCGCGGCTCAGCTGGATCGCGCTGACCGGCCGCTGACCGTCGTCGGCTCGGCCCCCCTCGCAGCCCCGTGTCTCGTCCATTCATCTGCGTTTTGGGTCCGGACGGACGTGGGCGATCTGATTGGGCTGGCCCCACGGCTACTGGCCCAGTGACCCGGGCAGGTGCGCGGGGGGGCCTAACCCGGCGTGCACCTGTCGCTGGCGGGCTGACGTCACGGCCGCTTCCGTTACCCCCCCCCCCCTCCCCCACTCACTTCTTCCGGGGAACGGGGCGGCGGAGCAGGGGGCGCAACTGTGAAGTGATCGGGCCGCACTGAAAGGGAAGGCAATTCGCTCCAGCTGATGAGGGGGTGAATGAACTCGGAAGTGCAGTGGTGCCGGGGAGTAGGGGTGCGGCTGCTGAGGACGGGCAGGATGTAAGGTGGCGCGGTGCGGGGTCCTACAGCAGCGGCTGCGCCGGTTCTCTGTGGAGATGTTTCAGGTTTTTGATGTCGTTTGGCGTCGGAGGTTGTGGAGGAGGTTCCCAGGGTCTGCTGGCGGCAGGAGAAGGCCTGGAGAAGAGCACAGGACACGCCGGCCGGCCGGCCGGACCGGACGGGTCGCTCTGCTGCTGCAGCCCGAGAGCAAACAAAATGTATTCGGGGTTTACGAAACAAACGTGTGCCCGTCCGGCCGGCCCAGGGCTCTGGCGGCAGGAGGACCTGCTTCTGCAGCACACAGCCAGCCTCCGGGACGGAGGACATAAATTACAAGGCGATGTCCGTCCTGCTGGTCGTAGCGGTCCCGCTCCCTCCAGCCTCTGGCTCCACGGCCGCCACGGCAGGACGCGCCTTGAGCCGAGCTGCCCGCCCCGGGCAGGGCACGAAATTGATTAGGCTTCTCCGATTGTAATTACCACCTTTCGGGAACGTTATTGGACGCGGACCAGCCAAGTCACCACAAACCTTTATGGGATATATATTTTTTTATATAATTTTTTTTTTGCTCTCTCCTCGCCGGCTCATTCTTATCTCTCTAGCGCTCGCTTAGCTTTCCTACGGTTCTCTCTCTCCTCTCGTGCATAGTGTCCCGAGGGTGATGATGACGATGAGATTCTTTCTCTCTGGCCCGGCGCGCGTCGCGAGACGTGTTCCGGCCGACGTGTTTTCGATACGAGGCTAATTTATCAGCCGCCGCAGGAAAAGGCGTCGTCTTTACTGTTTCTGTTTAGTAGTTTTGTTGTTTTTGTTTTTTTTTGGACCGCGGTGAAAATTTTCCCAACAGTGCATAAGAGGCGCGGCGCTCGCCGGCGCAGCTAGCGCAGCTCGTTGGCACCGCCATAAATTCCTCCGGTTTAGGTGTCACTGCCTGTCAATGCCCCGGCGCGGCGGCGGGGCCGGACCGGGGATGCTGCTGCCTGGTGGTGTCTTTATGACGGGCCATCACAAGTGCCATTGCAAACCCCGCGCCTTCGCTCGCCTCGCGCCATTGTCCGAATTATATTGGCAAGTGCGAAAAACGGACGGCGGCGGTCGCACCTCGCACCTGCCTGCTGTTGCTGCTGTCGCTAATCCCATACCGAACGAACGGGGGGGCTTTATGTTATTATGACGGTTGTTGTTATTGTCGCCTTTTGTCTCGGCCGGTCGGGTCGGGCTGGACACGTGCAGCGCGCACGTGCATACGGCGGCCAGGGGTCGTTGTGCCGCGGGGTGTGGCCCGGCCCGGCCAGGGAGGGGCCTAGCACCAATCAGACACGTGCTGAGGATATCGCGCCAAAGTTTGAAATATATTCCGATTATACAGATCAACCAATGTAATTCACACTTTTGCAATTTCTGCTATCTATCGCGCTCGAAACTTTACCTTTAATCATTTTATACCCCACCGGGCCCGACCGAGGAGGGTGCGGTGAGGAGAGGGAATGACCGCGACGCACCCGTCGGCCAATTAATTGGCTCCCGGACGGTCGGGCCGACATGATGGCGGCATCGCGAACAACGGCGGCGGCGGCAGCAGGAGGCAGGGGAAGCAGGAGGCGTCTTATTAATTTTACCATTTTAACCTTTCGATTTATCGGCGATTTGTCGAAGGTCCTTTTAACGGGCGGGGGCCCTTTACGATCGGCCGCGCGAGCTGAGCGGGGCGGAGCGGGGAGGAGGAGGAGGAGGACTTCGGGGAGGACGCGCGTAAAAGGGCTGAGCCGAGCCGAGAGCCGAGCGGTAAATTATTATTGTTTCCAACCGGCCCATCGCATCGCGGCAGTGGCTGGCTCCGGCGGGCTACTGCTGCGGTTTTACTACGGCTGTCCCTGCCGCCGCCGCCGCCGTCTGGATGTTGTTGTTTTTGGTTTATCCGCGAGCGGAGCTGCAGTAGCAGAGAAAGCACACATTGATTGGTCTGCTAATGTGTGTGTGTGTGTGTCGTCGGTGTCCTCTGTGGGCGTGCTGTAGTGGTTGGGATATAACGTGCAGGAGAGAGAGAGAGAGAGAGACGTAGCCTCGCGGCCGGGCTCGCCTCGCCCCGCCGCTGGGGCCGTTTACTGCCGCGACGTTGCGGCGGGATGGCGGTAGCGCTGTAATGCCATTAGCGGGTCTTCGAAAAATGCTGCCGCTGATAGTATAGATAGATAAGCTGGATACAGCTGGTGGTGGGCAGATAGGCGCTGCGGCGTGCGGCGGCGGCGGCCCGACTTAGACTCCGGTTAGACTCCAGAGCCCTTTCATCGAAGCAGCCTGGGATGCCTACATGGAGCCTCCGGTTAGCAGCCTCCGGGTACCCTCCCAGTAGACTCCGGTCAGCCTCTTGGTAGCCTCTGCTTAGCCTCTAGTAAGCCACTAGTAAGCCCCTAGTTAGCCTCTGGTTAGCCTCGGTGCAGGGCGAGCGAGTGGATGCGGGCGAATCTGTGATGTGATGCATACAGTCTTTGTGCCGCCATCGCCGTCACCGTGTCCAGATGGGTGTAGATGTGGATGTGTGCGGGTCGGGTACGCCCCATGGGTACGCCCTATCCGTGGGTACACCCGATACCCACTCGGGCGTGGCGAGGTGTGGCGCCTCGCATTGTGCCCGGCGGGGCGGGGCGGGGTGGAGTGGAGGAGTGCAAGGTAAAGCCCTGCGAGCGGCCGAGGTGATCCGGTCTCGCGGGGCAGGGCGGAGCGGGGGACAGGGGACTGGATTGCGCGCTGCACGCGGTGCGGGGGCGGCGCGGGGCGGATCGCTCGCCCCGGCCCCAGGCCTCTCCCCCCCTCGCCCTCCACCGTCCCGCGGCACGCCGCCGCCGCCGCGCTGGCCGCCCGCCCGCCTGGGTGGTAAAGCGATTTCTAGAAATGTTAAAAGAATCGAGTGCAAGAGAGAAAGAGAGCGAGCCTTAATGAGTGTACACGAGTCGCACGGCCGCCGCCCTGGTCTGGTCGCTTACTGATGCAGTCTAGCCTCGCGCGCCAGGGGGAGAGGGGGGGGGGGTGACAGCGTGGAGACGGTCATCCGGACCACCAGCACGACGCACTGACCGCCGTGCTCGCTATCCAAAGGGTCTGCACTGCCCTCACTCTGCAGGGAAAACACTTCAACGTCGTCAACATCGAAACGACGACAACGTGCCTTCAGTCGCCCCCCGAGCAGGAGAGATCTGCTGGCGTGTTTGGTGGGCCGGGCTTGCTCGCCGCGTCCGTCTTTATAGTACCCGATCCGAAGGCAGGAGGCGTTAATGTGACTTTTTGTGTGTTTGCAGGAATTGTGTCGTGCTCGCCCAACCCGTGCAGGAATGGGGGCGCTTGCGTCACGTCGGCGCGCGGGGAGCTGCAGTGCAAGTGAGTACACACGATATATATACACGCGAGCTCGTCCACGAGAGGGACAGAGAGAGAGAGAGAGAGAGAGAGAGAGAGGTGGAGTCTTTTGGAATAGTACGCTTGTTAAGCCATCCGAGCCTTCACTTTACCGTAGAGAAAAACCGTTTGGAGGGTATGTAGTACATACCCATAGGACACTTTTAAGAAGTGGTGCCCAAGCCTACTCCGCGTGGGGACCGCTCTACGGAGGGTTGCATACCCAGCAGGGGCAGGGCTTAAAAATCGCCTACAACATGGTCTGTCGACCGGGAAGGGGTCGCAATGTATTCCCTCATGTAAACTGCACTAGAAAATTACTTCTCGAAAGTGATTAAAGCGGGTTGCCTACCTCTAGGCGACAAAATATCACTAAAACCCTAAAGATACACTAAAACGTGGGGTTTTGTTTCATTCATCCGCGTCGGAGTGTCTGTGCATGAATGTGCGTATGTGTGCGCGTTTTGTGTGCGTGCTTGTGCAGGGCACCGGTGGGGTAGGCTTAAGTCAGTTTTTTCGGGTGTTAAAGGGTTGGTATTTTCCAAAGAAGTTCTGGAAATCAACTT